TATAAGCATGTACATATATATATATATATATATATGTCGACCAGACCTTGCTAACAATCCGAGGCTACTTCGTCGTCCCAGCCGACCAAGTCGGTCGAGTCGGCCAAGCCGGCCCAGTCGGCCGAGACCCGGAAGAGATCCCGCCCGCCGAAGAAGACCGTGGCCGTGTCTGCGACCCCCACGAAGACCCCAACGAAGACTCCGGACCCTAAGAAGAAAAAGGAAGACAAGCCACACCGGCTGGACAGTGCCGACACGGTGATGTCAGGCATGGATTGTGAAAAGCAGATCACAAGATATATATATGCATATATATATATGCATATATATATATGTATGTTTGTGTGATATATATATATATATATAGATATGTATATTCCTATATGTATGTATATATGTACCTAAATATACACACATATGTGTGAATGTATATATATATATATATATATATACATTCATATATATATATATAAAACAATATCAGCTCTAAGGCAAGATACATGCTGTATCTATAGATACATATAACACATATGTATATATAGACACAGACACACACACATGTATATATATATATACATATATATATATATGTATCTGATCTACGACATAGATATGCTTGTGTGCATATCACAGCACAGCTATATTGCCAATATACATGCATGTTGTTCTAGTTACAAGCATCTAACATATATATATATATTGTACACACACACCTATGTCTATTATATATATATATGCAAAAATCTACATATCATAATATACACATAGACATTATCATGCCTATGGCTTGAACAGAAGATACAATAGTTAAATTTCCTCTCATGCACAGTAACTACATTAATTAGGGTTTATGATTATAATATGTATATCAGTACCTATATATGATGGCCATATATTGTATGTATGTATACATATAAATCCAAACAGAAATACATTTGTACGTATCCTTGCATATATTATATATATGTATATATATGAATCTCTTTGAGATGCAGACTTCCGGCATGTGGTGCATTATAGCTTCTTCTGTCAATACATAGCTGTTTTCAGTCTCGGTCCAGGCGACAAGTCCGCTGATCTGAACAAGGAGCTGGAAAAAGTCATGTTGGAGGAACTTCCGATGGGAGTGCAAACCTGGCTAGATGATACTTAAAAGCATGCACAGAAATAGCCAATGGATGCATAAGACCCTGCAGGGAGTCGAGGAGGATCGACAGCCGGAGACCCTGCCCTACCCCATGGAACTGGACGTGCCGGACACACTGCCGAGCACACAGGTGGAGGACTGCATCCACGTGTTCCCCATTGGCCTGGACCTGGAGCTCATATATATATATATGTGTATACTTAATATATATATATAGATATATATAGATAATGCATATATATGTATAGATATCCAACAATAATATACTGCTCAAACCACAAACACATAAAGACATGTGTGATAGTTACCCAGCCAGTGTAAACATGTTCCATGTCCATGGCCACAAACCCAATTTGCAGGAGCCGGAACCTGACAAGGCAGCAGGTGGCGGCGGAGCCACAGCAGTCCGAAACCCAGGTTGTGTCAGTCTGTGTGTGATCCACATATATATATATGTATATGTGTATCTTTGTGTGTATAGGATCATATATATATATATATATCTATATATACATGTGTTTGTATATATATATATATATTTATGCAAACGTACACCTCAAAAATCTATTTGCTTTGTAAATTATAAATAAAGTACAATACTTCACACCAAAACTGCAGGTGACGATCCCGGTGCCTGCGATCATGGACGTAGATGCCTCGCTGCAGCGGGTTGCAAGCATGGCCGAAGCCAGCCAAGAGGCTGCAAAGGCACATGAGAGAGATTATATCAAAGATACAAATATACATAGATATGAACTTTCTTTCTTATATATGTATATATTTATATGCCGATATTCATCTATATATATATAACATATCTATACATATATCTATATATATAATACACCTAGATGTATAATTCTGAAAATATACATGGACTAACAATTGTAGTACCGTGACACATGTTACATATACTTGTTTCCTTCTAGAGTGAATATGACAAGACACCTGGTCTTATTCATGAGATAGGTCGTTGCCCTCGGTTAGATACACGACAACATGTAATATATATATATATATGTATACATATATACTATAAATTCAACGGACCGAGAACACGTGCAGGCAACGGTGCCGGATTCCCTCCGCAGGGGCAAGGCGGGTGTCAAGTACTGTATATACATATCGTGTGTATGTGTCTGTATATCTATATATACAGTTATATTCATCGTTTGTATATTAAGCTTATATATATATATATATACATATATATATATATGCAGGCAACGGATTTCCGTGAGCCCACGTCTCCGAAGACTGGGGCCACTGCTGCTGAGGCACACGGCCGTATATATGGATGATTAATATAGGGGGCTTAGGGTTTAGGGTTTGGGGTTCAACATGTCTCGCATCTCTGGCCGACCAGGTCGACAACAGCGACCCGATCCCGGAGGACTACCTGGACGGCCTGATCAAGGAGCTCGACGAACAGATCGAGCAGGAGAAGAAGGAGAAGCAGGCGGGGCAGGACTGCAAGAAGGAGGTCGACGAGTTGACCCAGAAGTTTGCAGAGATGCTTCCCCCGAGCCAGGCAGGTATAGAGGGACAGTGTATCCATGATTTACGATAAGTGTAAGCATGTTCTCCATATATATATATATATGCTACATATGCTATATATACATATATGTACTATATATATACACACATGTACACATAGATCGTCTTATAGACTTATTTCCATTCGTGTCTGATGTGCATGTATGTGTATATATATATATATATATATGTACATGTACATACATAGATCTTTATGTTATATATAGACATCTACCCAGAAGAAGTCTGGCATTAGAACATGTACTCTAGATGCATATTTACTAACAACCCTTAAAGGAGAGGAACGAGCTCTTCTACACGGGCTCCAGCCAGAGCTCGCTTGACGAAAAGCCCACCGCCTCGCCCAGCCAGGCCTCGCTAGAGGAAAAGCAATTGGAGGAGCTGAGCAGGCAGGAGCTTTACGGGTTGTCCCGGGACCAGCTCTTGACCCTTGTCGGCAAGATGCGGAGCGATGACCAGAGCCAGCGGGCCAACTCGGACGGGGCCCCAGACGGAGGCAAGAAGAAGAAGGAGAAGAGCCCGGAGGAGAAGGCTGAGCATGCTGCATGGATGCGGATGACCCGTGGGCTCAAAAGCTGCTTGGCTCAGTATACATATATATATATATATATGTACATATATATATACATATATATATATATATTCAACGGTTATATATATATATATATATGTATATATATATATATATAGATATAGATATATATAACAAACGATATATATATATATATATATATCCCGGGTATAGTGGTTTCGGTGTTAAGGTCAAGTACATGTGTGCACAGATATGGTAGCAACATACATATAAATAAATTTATTATATAAATATATATATATATATATGTTGATATAAGAATCATATATGTGTCTGTGTATTGAAAAATATCACCAGGCGGCTGCGATGTGCCGGACGAGATTACCGCCCTGGCCTTCAAGGACAACAGTCTCGAGAAGAGAGCTTTGACAGCATCCGGAGCACAGAATCCCCGAAACCCCAAACCCAAAGCCCCCCACACCAACCCACACAACCAAACCCCGAAACTACAGACCTTGTGATTGCACCTCAGGGTCCAACACCGTGTTGCGGGACCTGTTCGAGGTCTTCTCCAGCTGCTCCGGCAACTGGCAAAGAAGCTCGTTGATGATGAGCCACAAGAGCACGACAAGCAGCGAGAGCATCGGTGTACACCAGTGGCGAACCGTGGGCTCGATCGCGAAAGAGTACTTTGCAAATGAATCGTCAAGCTTGCTATTTTCTGCTTAAATCCCGGGTTTAGGGTTCAGGGGGGTTAGGATTTAGGGTTTCGGGTTGAGGGTTTAGGGTATGGTTGGGTCTGAGGGCTTAGGGGTCCAGGGTTTAGGGTCTTAGGGTTAGGGTTGGGTTGGAGTGACATCATTCCTCATCCGAGGCATGGCCAAGAGCATGCCGAGGAGCTCCGGGCGGTGAAAAAGTCCTTGGGAGCCAAGCACTGGCAGATTGCAGATTCACCCCGACTGGCCGAAGCGACAGGAGTCTACTTTTGTAGATACATAATTATAATAATAATACACACATTCATCTCTCTCTCTCTCTCTCTCTATCTCTCTCTCTCTCTCTCTCTCTCTCTCTCTCTCTCTCTCTCTCTCTCTCTCTCTCTCTCTCTCTCTCTCTCTCTCTCTCTCTCTCTCTCTCTCTCTCTCTCTCTCTCTCTCTCTCTCTCTCTCTCTCTCTCTCTCTCTCTCTCTCTCTCTCTCTCTCTCTCTCTCTCCTCTCTCTCATATGTATATATATATATATGTATGTATCTATATATACATGTGTATATATATATACATGTGTATATATATATATATGTATATGTATATGTATGTATATATATATATATATTATGTATACATATGTGTGTGTATCCGTACGTGTGGAGTACTATATTATATTATATTATTTTATACTATATTATATTATATTATATTGTATTATATTATATTATATTATACTATATCTATATATACGTATTTGTATATATATATATATACGTAGTCCTATAAATCTGAGGTTATATATATATATATATATATTGTAGTTGACCTATGTACATGTTTGTTTCGGTTTACATATATATGTAATATTCAGTGTACCGTATATAGACTATATATATATATATATATATATATATATATTTATCCTGTAGCAGCCCTGCAGGACATGGAACTCGTGAAGGTTTGGGTGAGTGCTGAGGAATCCCAGCGGACTTCGACCGAGTTCTCAGGTTCACTTCGATGCCCCAGTCTGATAGCAGCGCCTGTTGGCTTAGGCCTACTGCTTCAGCATCACTATTGCATAGAATTCGCTTTCTCCAGACGATAGACTCACGGTAGTCTGCACGTTGGAGCTATGCTTGATGCAATGCGATCCATGCATAGTAACGATCCCCGTCGTGGACCTCCGCGTGATGAGACATCCCGCATGGTCTGAATCACAGTACACGGTCAGGTCCTTCTGGAACCGTTGAGGGTGGTACTCGTATACCAACCTCGGCTTACCACGAAGATACCGTCCAAGCCTTTTTAGGTCTGCCCACGCAGCTTCGTTTGGAGCTTTCATGTGTCTGGCTAGACTCTTTGTAGCTTCGGCGATATCCGGCCGATCTCGCGCCAAGAATGCGGCCCTCATGGTTATAGAGCGATAGTTTCTCTGCATCGCTTCATTCATTGGTGGCATCTCAAGCGTTTTCATCGCTTCTCCTTGTTTCTTCTTTTCCGCAGGAGTCTTGGCTGCTTTCGCAGACTCCAGATTCAGCTCTCTGACTAACGCTTCCACGTGTCTGGGGTCCGCTTCGTAGGTGACCTTTCCAGTCTCTTTGCTGTAGCAGATCAAACGATTCAGTACGACCATCTGTTCCCCATGGTTGGGTCCGATGTGTCCATCACACCGATACTCGTAGCGCTCCGTCAGGGCTTTATCCAGATATGCATTGCCTTCATCATCTGCTAAACAGAAGAAGTCATCTCCATGGACTAGTAGTCGGATGTCCTCCTTCTCGCAGTAGAAGATACACGGCCAAGCTTTGCCCGCAACGAACTCATATTTCTTCATGAGCTCACTATAGTCTCTCTGCCACGTGCTTGAAGCATCTTGCGTTCCGTACATCGTTTTGAGTAAGAGCGCACACTTGCCCTCAGACTCATCACCTTCTGGAAGTGTAACGAACACACGTCTTGTGGCACGACCATAGAAGTGGGCACGGCTGATGTCAATCAACCGAAGAGACAACTTGCCTCCTCTGCGCGAGACGCGCAGAGTGGTCATCAACGAACACAACAGCTTTACCGCTTCGAGAGGCGGCATAGAGCTAAAGAGTACGTGTTCGGGCAATGCTGCCTGACCTTGAGACTTAACTTCTCGAACTACAAGTCTGCTTCTGTAGTTCTCGTTGACGTTGTCCCCTTTATTCCTATCTACCCATTTTAGCGTAATGGGTGGTCTTCCGGTCTCTTGCCAACAAATGGTTTCATCGACCTTTGTGTATACACTTTGCTGCTTGACCCATTCAAGTTCAGTTAAGCGTGCCTTTGCAACTTTTTCTGGGTCGAGCTCGGCACCGGTATTTGCATCAATCACCGGAGTCTTCACGTATAGCTCATCCGCCCTTGGCAGGGTGTCGTAATGATGCTCTTCGAAGTTCGGCTCTTCGTGTGGATCGGGTCCCGCTACAGAACCGATGACTTGAAGCTCACCATCGAGCACCAACTGCGCTCGAATGCCCTTGGCAATCGCATGAGCTAACTTGGGAGGATAGCGCAGCTTCGCTGCAACCTTCCCCTCCTCAAACGTGAGGTCTCTTTGCCAAACTCTTTCCTTCGGTCCTTGTGTACACACCTTTTTCAATGCTGCAGCTAGGGCAGCGGAGTTTGTGATCCAGCGAGTCTTCTTCTTGAAGTTCGCTCCTTGGAGATTCCCTCCGCTATTGTCAACAGTCCACCTGCACATTGGCCCTTCGACCACATAGGACTCTTCACTCAGCTGTTGGTACTGAGTGTGCTCCCAAGACTTCGCTCCCTTGGGGCATTCTTGAAGATAGTACTTCTGTTGTCCCACCTGGTATTGGAAGGCTTCGACGCAGGTCCTCACTTGTTTTCTCCCTGCTTCAAGCACTTCTTTCTCCTTCTCCTTCTTCGCCTTCTGGAGGGCTGTAGCTTCTCTGCACTCCTGCAAACGGACCATCAGGCGGTAGTCCCACAAGTAGCGTTGGCTTTTCAGCTTCCAGCTTCTTGAACAAAGCTTCCACTTCGTCCTGCTTCCGAAGTTTCCAACCCTTGTCTTCAACGCTGAGACACAGTCCCTCGTTCAGAGGAACAGAGGCTTTGACGTCCACGCCTAGTGAACCAACTAGGCTGGATATCTCCTCTGCTTGCTTCCTCGTACACTGCATCCCCCTTGAGTGGAACTCCTTTTCTAGATGACTCACATCATCCATCTGAGCTTCCTCCACCTGACTCCACCTGTTTGTAGGATAGGTCGGTGTTCTCTCCTCCGGAACCTGTGCCTCTGCCTTGGAGGTTAGCTCCGACGATCTCAGGCTCGTCGGTGCCTTGTTCTTCCCTGTAAAGGTCTTCGACATGTTGCTCTGCCTCGCGCTTCTGGGGTCGCTGGGTAGAGCTGTCGTCCTGCATTGGACTAGGACGCTCAAGTGGCGCACCAGCTGCTTCTTCAGCAGCGATCTCGCCATCAGCAGGCTGACCTTCCAGAACAGGTTGCTCTTCGGCCTTTCGCTTCTTCCGCGCTTTTGTGGAGTAGTCTTTCTCTTGTCTGTCGAGTGCTCTCTGCACCCTTTGTTTTCCTTCCTCGGCTTCCACGAGGTGCCTTTGGATACGGAGTCGACACTCGGGGCTGTGACTCCGCTGTGGCAATCCCAGCATCAACGCTTCACACCCTGGACACAGAGTGGTGTAGCCATACTTCTCTACGTCGCTCTTGAGAACGTAGAGGTTCCTCGCCCTGTATTCTTTCGGGTCAGGAACAGGCTGTTCACCAACAAGTTCAAGCATGTCCACACGGTTGGGCGGTGCTCGCTCAACTGGGTTGGTCCACTTCCACGGCAAACTTCTCAACTGGTCGAACCCCTCCTTCGACCAACGGTCCTCTTCTGGCCTTCGGTGTAAAGAGTGTCCTTTAACAACACCAGTGGGCGTCATCACGAGGAGGTCCGCGTTCCTACTCGCTGTACCCACATAGCGTCCCATGGCCACTCCCCTTCTACTCTCCACTCTCTCACTCTCTTCTACGGGCCCCTGGTGTTCACCAACCGCCGGGGCCACTCCGTCACTAGGTGAAACCTCTACCGGTGAAACTTCGCTACCTCTCACCCTTGGCCTTACGCGTCTTGCTGCCCCGCAAAAGGGCCGCAGGCAAGGTCCAAGACGTAAACCCCACGTCGCACGTGGAGCTTCGTAGCGCTCTTCGGGTTGCTTCTTCCTCATCATTGCATCGAAGTCCTTTCCGAATTCATTTCCCTTGGGAATATGGTAACCACCGTTCTCTCCAAGAACGGCGTGGTGAGATCGGCAGATGTCCGAGGCCGATCCAAGCACTCGGTGCACGTCGGCTAGGCGGCCACAAAGTGTGGCACAGTTGCCGCTCGAGGTCGTACCCTTGAGCCGAATTGGCCCATAGTCGGGTATGTTCTGGCCGCTCGCCGTCTTGAACTTCATGTCCTCACGAGGCTTCTCGTTTCCGCGGCCATACTTCATTGGCACCACCGTCACGGCAGCACCGCTGTCGAAGTTCACCTCGACACGCTGGTCCTGTGGACCTTGGCTTTGGCCGCCGGACGCCGAAACGGCATTCGTGGCCAGGCTCACCTCAACAGAGGCAACCACTGCGTCGCCCTCGGGAGGATCCTTGGGGTCCTCGGGCCCTTTGTCGGGCCGCTTCCATCCGCCCCAATCTTCATCTTCATCATCATCTTCTTCCTCCTCGGGTTCCTTTCTCTTTTCTCCTCTTTCCTTTGTCTTTCCTTTGTGCTTTCCTTTCCCTTTGTTCTTGTCAGCAAGCCGCTTTCTTCTCATCGCTCTCTTCTCGTTGATCTTCTTTCTTTCGTCTGGGTCCCGCGGCGTCTCGACTTTCTCTTTTCTCGATCTCCTTCAGCTCCTCGTCGTACTCCTGGCGGTAGTAGGTCCGCTCCTTGCGGCTCAAAGGCTTCGCCGCCAGGTCTGTCGCCTCTTCCTTGGCGACCTGCTTCCCAGAAGCATCTATCACCACTGTCTCCATGGCATCCACCTTGACATTGTCAACCTTCTTGCCGCGCCTGGTGGCAAAGTTCTCAGCCCAGTCCCTTGCGTTTTCACGTTGACCTCTGCTCGCTCTTTGGTTCCGCTGCGGCGCTGCTCCGCCGCACGCCGCCGGGCTTTCTCCTCCTTCCACGCCTTGGCGTGTGGAACGCCCTCGGCCCGTGCAGCACGATACCGCGCATCGTGCGTGCTTTGGTCCAACCTTCCGGCCTTCGCCGGTGTTGCCTTTGCACGGCCACGCTCCTTGAGCTTGGTGATCTTCTCGAGGATGCTATCCAGCTCCACCTCGATATTCGCCTTTTCTTCATGATCATTTTCATTCATCTCTTCCTTCTTGAGCTTCGCAAGCTCGTCGAGCCTCTTCAGCAGACGGCTTCGGTCCGCCATGAGGCCTCCAAGCAGACTGCCGTGCAGAAGGTTCTGCATCACCGTCGACGAAGACATCAACGCGGCACTCGCCGCCTTAGGCCCACTAGCCTTGGCCTCGCTCGCCTTCGGCTGGCTGGCCTCTGCCTTTGCACTGCTCGCCTTCGGCTGGCTGGCCATTGCCTCTGCATAGGCCTTGTTCCTTTTTTGGCGAAGAGCACTGATCCTTGCAGCGTGCTCCAGCTTCGCCTGCGCGATCTCTTTCTCGCCAGGTTCCTTGTACTCCTTGACCTCTATGGTCACATCTTCTTCCATTGGCTCTTCCTCTTGGTCCTCTTCGTGGTCGCTGCCGGCTTCCGGCTCCACGCTCACAGTTTCCATTTCCTCGTCTTTCATGTCTTCCTCTTTCTCACTTTTCTCATCGTCTTTGGCTCCTCTCTTGCCGGAGCCTTTCCTTTCACCCGGTGGCTTCAGCATGCCTTCCCGGTGCAGCAGGCTCCTTGCGAGCCCCACCGGCAGTGGCCTCTTAAGGCTCTCGTATTCTTCCTCTGCAGGTACTCTTGCACAGCTTTCCTCGTTTTCTTCCGCCTTGTCCTGCACGTGCTGCAGGCACTTCCCTGCTTCTTGAGGATATGCTGCCCGACCGTCCCTGGTGGCAGCAGCCTTCGGATCCCAGCTTGGTGCTCCCTTCTCTCTTCGTAGGACATCTTTGCCCATTCCTCCTTTGACTTCAGCTCTCGCATCACCTTGAGCCTCAGCCTTAGCTTGGGTCCGTCTGCGCTGCCACTTGCCGGCTCGGGCTCATCCTCTTCTTCTCCCTCTTCTTTCTCTTCCTTTTTCTCTGGCTCCTTCTCCGGGGTCTTGGGCGACTTGGGCCTTCTAACAGGCGACCTTCCACGCTCCTGCTTTGCCCTAGGACCTAGGAGGCGGTGGCCCCTTAGGCTCTGCAACCCTTGTCGACCCTGGCACCGGAGCCTTCGGCAAAACCTTGGGCTTAGGTGGCAAGGTAGCCGCCCTAGCCCTCGGCTCTGGAGCCTTTACCGGCTCCGTCGGCCTTGCGCTTCCAGACACCGCCCTTCTCAAAGGCGGTGGCCCCTCAGGAGGGCACACAAAGATAGGCTTCAGCCGCGCTCCGGGCGAAACGCCCGAGCTGGCCTTGCTCTTCTCTTTCTCTTTCGGCTTCGGCTTTGCCTTCTCGGCTTCTTCTTTCTTGGGCTCCTTTGCCTTGGCTTCCTTCGCCTTGGCTTCTTTCTCCTTGGCTTCGCCCGGTTTGGGCTCTTCCTTCGCTTTGGGCTCTGGCTCCTTCGGCTTGGCCTCCGCTGCCTTTGGTCCCTGGGCCCGTGCTTTAGCTCGAGCCAAGGGACAACAAAAGGGCCCCCTGCAACTCGTTGGCCTCGTCGTCCGTAAGCCCTTCCAGCCGGGACGGGTCCAAGCCGGCACTCCGAAGGCGGTCCCCGAAGTCCGACATCCTTCCCGACCCGCTTGGACCAAAAACGGCTGCGGAGTCTTCCTTTTCTTCTTTCTTCTTTCTCTCTTCTGTCTTCTTCTTCTCTTCTTTCTTTTCTTTCCTTCCTTCCTTCCTCCTCTAGGCCGCCTATCAGCAGCCCGTTTCCTTCTTTCCACTCGGTTTCCTCGGGCCAGTCTTCCCAGCCCTGGTCTTCAGGCCATTCGCCTTGTTCCCAGGATTCGTCTTGCTCTGGTTGCTCGTTCCACGTTTCCTGGTCGTTGCTTCCGGTCGTCTCTTCGAGGCTGTTGGCGTGTTTTCCTCCTTTGCCCTTTCCTTTCTTGCCTCCTTTTCCTTTCGGCGCTTTCCCGCCGGACTTTCCTTTCGGTGTCTTTCCTTTGGGACCTTTACTTCCCTTTGGGCTCCCCTTGCCGGGTCCCTTCGGCGAACCTTTCCCTGGACTCTTGCTGTAGCTTCCTTTGCCGCCCTTCGCTGGAGACCAGCAATCAGCGGCCTTGTGGCCCTGCTTGCCGCAGTTGTTGCAGGTACCCAGAAACTTTGGCGCTTTGCCGCCCTTTCCTTGGACTTGCCCAAAAGATGAAACATCCATCGGGTCTCCAAGGTCTCCTTTGCCGGCGACTTGGGTCGTAGAGAATGCCTTCAAGGTCTTCCCGGTACGATGCTCAACATACCTGGTGACCTCTTCAAGAAGATCCTCAAACCCAGAAAACTTCGACTGGCTCAGCTGCACATGCGCTTCCAGGTCTTGCGGTAGCATGGACTCAAGCGCTGCGGTCTTTATCTCCTCCGGGATCTTTGTTCTGTTCCCGCTCGCGTCCTTTCTCTTCTCGTACGAAGCAATCGCATCAAGCCATTCTTCGATAGCTTGCGGCAAATGCTCCAACTTCTGCTTTTGCGGATTGATCACAGACTTGAGCATCGATCTCTTTCTCGAGGCTGTCGACGGGTCGTACCTCCGAGCTAGCCTTCGCCAAGCACCGATTCGTGCTGCAATTGATCACTATCGCAAACGGCTCTTTCGCAGTGACCGTCTGCAGCGCCGAAGACAGCTCCGTCGACTTTTCGAACAGATTCGGAATGCGATCTATCTCGTCAGCTTTTTCGCCGTATGCTTCCGTAAGCTCTTCTGTGCTGATTGCCTTTTCCCGTTCCTCGCACCACTCCAGAGCTTCACGAAGTTCCGGATAGATAGAACAGATGTAGGCAAGCATCCTGTGACGCCACGGAAGAAATTGCTCAGCATCTCCTGAAAACGTGCTCGGCTTCCCGAGCCCTTTGGTGTCCACTAGCACCAACTTTCCTTTGTCTCCTGTCGCCGTGCGTTTCACGGCCTCTGCAAGCTCCTTGCTCTGGCCTTTCAATGTATCCTGCAATGTTTGCCCCATTTCTCAGACAATCGTCGGTAGCGCGCTCAGCTGCCCTTGCGCAGCTGAGGCCGCTTGCGTAGCCTCGGTCAACCTTTGCTGGCTCTCGGCCCTCACTTGCTCCAAGTCCTGACTGTGCTGCTGTGCTTGTCGCGCGAGCTCTTGCCTCAGCGCCTGCATCTCTTGTATCATTTGCTCTTGCGTTGCCATCTTTTCTTTCTTTCACTTCCTTGGGCCGATTTCGCCCAAGTGGTTCACTCCTCTCGAGGATGAGTCCTCGAAAGCAATCTCCTGAAAGCACGTGTGCTAAGCACTGCCTGGAGATGCAACCCCAGGTTGTGCCAGATGCGCTGCAGCCGGCGACTCCGCTGCAGGCGTCGAACCAATCGTGCCCAACGTTCCTGGGCAATCCTTTGTCTGCGTGCTCTGCGGCAGCCGACACCACGCATGCGAAGCGACTCTCAACCAAGCCGCTCCGCTACCATGAACGGAGATTTAGCGTCAGCTAGTCACTCAGCGCACTATTTTCCAGGCTTGAGCCAACAACGATTATTATACCGAGTGAAACATGCAACTGCATCCTATGCAAACTCCTACATCGAATCACTTCAGTTCTCTAATGTTTAATGGATGGTTAGGCCAAGGCAGCGCTCCAATGAGGTTTCCGTGTCTCTGTACTGTTGCAACGTGTGGCGATCGAGCTCGAAAGTCCGAAGCTTTGCTCAAGCACGTTCCCCATGGTCTCTTCCGCCAACAAGGGCGACGTCAACTCGAAGTAGGGCAAACCTCCAACTTGACGACTGGATCTCACAAGCTAGAGTGGTCGAATAAAGTACGTAGTTCAGCAGATGCACGAGTGGTTTCATGATGGCCGGCGAACCAAAGATGTGGAGGCGGCGTGCATGTGCACGATTCCTTCGGGACTGCAACTTCCTTTTTGAACATGCCAAATGAAAGAAACGTCAGTTTTGTTACTGCTGTCACGCTCGGCTAGTTTGAGCAGGAAGCGACGACCCGGCTTGGGAAGCGACAGCTGCGCTGTCTTTGAACATAGGTCTATGAAGAAGCCAGCATAAGGGGTGTATGGTAGCAGCTTTGTGGAGGCTTTACTACTAGTATGCAAAAGAAAAATAAAGAAAAAGTATTGAATATTCGTAACGAAGAACACTATCAATGTGAGAGAAGGTGATAATATTAGTACGAGTATGAACATTTTCATGAGTGTTAAATAGTAGTGGTTAGTAGGTTGAAATTTGTATTAGTGTTAAGTAATGGTGATGACTAGAAACTTCTGCCACTACTGCTACTGCTGCTACGACGACGACGACTACTACTACTACTACTCCTACTACTACCACCACTCGCCACTTTGTCTGACATGCACATGCACCTTTTTTTTTTCTTATATGTTGTAGACTGCGCTTGAATGCCCTGCTCAAACAGCGCTTAGCCTCCGCTGCTGTTGCCAGTAGCAGCTGGTGACAACACAGCACCCAAACCGCTGCAGTCGCATAGTGGTGCTGGACGCAGGCTGTTGGCCATATTGCTGTCCTTTATGCCGCCTGCTGTGCCTGCCCAGGATCTGACTGTTAAGGTCATACCGTTCCCCCTGGACGTATACACGGTTGCACTGGAGGAGTTCCTGCTGGTTGAGGCGTTTGCCAAATTCTTGAAACAGCAGGGCGGACCCACCATGCCACCGGCGGTAGGAATGGCACCGGTCAATGAAATTCTGCAACATGCCCTCGCCATGCTTGTGGAGCCTTATCGCAGCATCTTCGTTGACTACGCAACGCAGCTGGATGGCTACAGGTTTACGGTGCTGGATGCATATCTGCCCGGACCGGCACCAATCCTTACGGACGCTTTGCTTCCTGCTGAAGCTCTGGCCCGATCTATCTTGGCAGAGGGTCGGTGCCCGATTTGGACGGCTGCAAGACAGGTCGTTGCATTGCTGGACTGGTCGCCTGACCCACGGTCTTCTATCCCAGGGCGTGGCGGCAGTTTGGTGCTTGGTGCCTACTCGCACGGCCCCTTTGCCGGGATCTGCAAAAAGACCAAGATGTATGCCTCAGTGTGCAGGGTACTGAATCGCCTTGTGCAGCACCTCAGTGGCTCGCATCAATGGAGCTCCTTGGCTCTGCACCTGGACATACGAACACCGCCTCATCGGGACAGTGGCAATTTTCCCCAGGACAGTGTCTTGATTGGCTTGACTCATCATGTAAATGGTGGGCTGTGGGTGGAGGATGGTGAAGCCAGACGGGCTGCAGGTGACCATAACACAGACGGCTGTGGCACCATCTACCGACTGGACCTTCACTGCCTAAAGTTTCCTGCCCATCGCCTGACGCACGCCACTTGTGAATGGGATCTTACAAACAGGATCATCATGTCAGCCTTCACTGTCGGGCAGGTCCTTAAGCTGAGTCCTGAGCATCGCGACTTGCTGCATGATTTAGGATTTCTTCTTCCCGACCCCCACTCCGGTTCTCCCTAGGGGTTAGGAGGGGGTTGGTGGTTCATAAGTCCTTCGTCCAGTCTTTGATACTGGTGTGCACAGAGCAACGCTGAACCCAAAAGGCCTATAAGTGCGCCTCCTTGAAGTCATGCTATGCCCAGCCTCAATGCAGACAGGCATCACCGGCGCAGAATGTGGAAGCGGAGTTAATACTTGTGCATGCCTGTGCACTGCTGCTAAGCCTGCACTCATGACTCGTTCGCATTGTTTCGTTTGCCGCAGGTACTCTCATGGCTGCCTCCACTCTTCGCGATGGGTTTGGATGCAGCACTCCCGGCTGCACCAGAGCCTTGCCTCTGCTTCCGCTAAATGGCAGGCCACGGCATGGGAAGTGCTGTGCGCTGTGTGGAAGTGGCAACCACTCACGCCAATGTGAACGTCTGCACCGTCTGAATAGTCGAATGGTGGTCAGCGTTTGCAGGACGCCTGGCTGCACTCTGTTGGTGCAAGTCGGTCATACCACCTGCTGCTCCTCCTGCTGGCTAAGCCAAAATGGACTGCACGCTCGTGGCTGTGCAAGACGTCAGGGCCTCTTGGCAGCTCAGCGTGCAGGGAACGGCACGAGTGGTAGTCCGCCACTCCCTTCCTCCTCCGCCATGTGGGGCCAGGCGCGAGGAGGAATGGTGACAAGTTCTGGCAGCGTCATCACATCAATGCCGGCCATGCCACCGCCTCTGCCTCCATCAGTGCCTGTGGAAGCTGGTGACGCTCAGCCTGCAATTGGTGTGATTGACATTTCCTCTGACGATGAGGACATCTGCGATGACGCTTCTGGGAACACCGGCAACCCTGGGAACCCAGGGAACCAAGCCAGGGGCAGTCAAGATGCTGCAGTATTGGCCAGCTCAGATGCAGTTGTGGAACTAGAGGAAGCGACTGGTGCACAGCAGTGCTGGAACCAAACTGCTCCCTCGATTGACCTCTCTGCCATGGATTGAGCCTGCGAACATTGCAGCAGTCATCAAGGTGCTATATGCTGCGACAAGGCCATTGGGCGAAGGAAGCGGTTGGCCTGACTATCAATCTCTCGCAAGCTTTTCGGATGGACTATGAAACTGGACATGTCGTTATGGTGGTAGCTCAGTTAGTCTTTGATTTGCCATAGAAGGATCCTCAATAGCAGGATGCAGCCACTGAGCTGCCGGGCTATGCCTGCCTTTCGTCAATCATCGGAGCGACGGTGAGACGTGTGCAATGCAATACTACCACCACTTGCTACTGAACAAGGATGCCGCCAACAAAAAGGCAATGGACACAGGAGCAGTAAAACTATGGCCGCCAAATTAGCCCTCCAGCAGGAAGTAACAAAGACGTGGGGCTTCACAGAGAATATATTCGGAAAGTGAATTGTGAGAAGTCTACTGTTTTTTTCCCGGTTGGACTTGCCGGGCCTACAGCCACTGTGCAGCCATGCATGTGGCACCACCGCATTCACTGGTCAGTCACTGGTATCCACCTACGAGTAAGTGATTTTTATCATCACCCATCATCACCCCCAACACAAACCATGCCATCACAGACACACTGAAAACAATTCTGCACGAAGAAATAAAAGCATTGCAACAAGCCCTCTGCGAGTCGGTCCAGACTCTACGGCTTCATCGATCCACTGGAAGACTGGCACAAAGAACTCGTAGACACCTCGATGAGATCGGAGATCCAGGGCTGAGAAGAACTTGTAGAGATCGAAGCGAAAGTATGCAATCGAGCCATCTTTGCCCTGGAATGCATTTGCCATGTCGCTCGTGCAGTTTACAACGTGCGTGATGCCATTCTGACGCAAGATGTCTCTCTGGACGCTTGCTGTTTGGTTCCCAATGAAAACCTGAGCTCCTGTCGTCGGATGCTTCCACACAGCATCCAGATTATTGTATCCATGCAGCCTCGAAGACTCTGATGACGCAGCGCCAGACACCGGCAGGTTAAGTGCCGCAAAGAGTTTTCTTGCCTCTTCATCATAGTCTGGCCGCTTTGTTACGTCAGCAGGCATGCCACAGTTTTGGCAGCCACTCTGATCTAACGACGCTTCCTCGCTTGAATTTACTGCTGCACTTCTTGAGCCGGATCTGTGTCATTGTAACTTGCAACCCACGAAGCAAACTTGATTGCAGGGCACGTTCCGGCACGCCGCACAAGTTAAGTCCCTGGCCGGCCCAGAAGCTATGTTAAGGAAGATCCTGTGAAAGGGCAAGTGAATGCGCCTTGCTTGCTTCCATCAGAAAATATCTCACCAGCCCCGACCGGACCTGGACCGAAAACGGTTCAACCAGCGTACTAACCCCTTTGTAGGACTGTCGATACTGCAATCAAGGAGGCGTGTTGAGTTCATACCACTGCATACCATGCATCTTAGTTTCGCGTGAGCGATGCACCGAGGATCATCCGGGCAAGAGTGGCACTGACCCAGGTGCGCCTTGAACGGTTTCGCCAAATTTGGCTCTCTTACTTCATGTACCTGCACGTGACGTTTTGCAAGCACGCGGAGCTTGCAGAGTGAACACTGGCTGCATGGGCACATTTTGCTCATCTCAGCGACTGCTCCATCGAGTGCATCTGCAAGCGCGGGGTCGACGTTCTGCTTGCACTTGACAGCCGCCAGCATAACCTGACGTGGCGCTTTCGCTCCACTTGCAGAATCTGTCGGACAGAGGGCCCAGAGGGCCTGGTGATGCGACTGCAGCGCTGCAATATAGTCTGCCTGGCAAATCTGACTCTGATTACAAAAGGCTTCTGGAGCTGACCACATTGCATGCTAGTGCGGCACTTTAGAATTCAGAAGCTGAGAAATGCCACTGTGCTGTCGTGTCACTGTGCTGTCTTGCGTCTTGCGTGGCCTGTTGTTTGCACAAAACTCACTAACTAGAATGCTTACCCAAGCATTGTTGTATATAAATGTCCGACACCGCTGAAAGGAAGACCCTGGGCCACCGCACAGCCAAGCCTGAGTAAATGTATCCTAGCACGGTCTTTCGATTCTCAGTGCGGCCCGACCTCGCTTGCGAAGGGCGTCTTTGGGTCCTCAGTTGCACCAGCCGCAGTTCGAATCACAGCGGTGCACCTGTCGAAAAGCTTTGCTCGAGCCAAGCATCGCTGACTGGCTTCACCCGCTGGCAAAGGCAATACTCGGACCTGAGCTCGTTTTCGGACAACGGTCAAAGATAGTCAGAGTCAGAGCTATGCTCGAGCTTGGACTGCTAAGGCCACCTTACACCGCAACATCGTAATTTTTCCAACTTGGCATGGCGCATAAGTGAGATGATCTTGCCGGCGTGCTCTTCCTCAAAGGCAGGCTGCATTGTGAATAGGCTGAGCCCGTCCACAGGCATATGATTGCCTTGGTGTTGACCCAGCGTGTCATCTGATTGATGTTCAGAGGCGTGATGCTGGCCTCAAGCAGTTGCGTAGGCAGAAATGGCAGAACGCGCCACGATTCTGACGGCCCCTGAATTGCTAGTTCTTCGAGATCAATGACAGTCTGGGAATGTACAGCCATGTAGAGCACAACCCCGAAGCCGAAGCAGCAACATGCAAAACATCCCCTATCGTTCTCTCGCAGGTCGGCCTGGAGGTTCAGTAACAGCATAGACGGTATCCCCATCCAAGCCCCACGCCGACAGCTCTCCGATTTGGACCATGGCCTGTGAATGAAGAATGGGCTGCGCTCTTGGGTGATTCATAGTGGCATAATGCATCCATGAAGTTGAGCGCAAAGTGCTGATCACGGCGGTTCCAGGCATCAGAACAAACAAGCCCAACAAGGAAAGATCCAAATGACCAAACTGGGACATCCAACTAGCTGCCGCACAGCATGAAAACACGCAGACAGGAGTGCACGCCATGGCAAATGAAAAATTGGCTTTCAAGGCCACTGGCTCGTTTGCCTACAAACCCATCAAGATCCACCAAGGCCTTCTTGATCGTCGCGACAGCCTCTTTGACGTCGGCAACGAGCTTGGGGTCGTCAAAGATTCCTCGGTCTCTGCTGATGCATCCTATAGTTGTGGGAAACCATTGCACACACGCACTGTTGTATACCCGTCCAAGTGTTGAGGGAGAACGCAGCTATACCATTGGGCATCTACACTTTTTACCCTCAGAGCACTTGTGCCACAGTGTCACACACACAACATGCTACTTCACACGTGCACAAATTACACCCCCCTCGCCGAAGCGTCAGTCTGAGGCGCAAACATGCACGGAAGCTTGGTGCTGTGTGGCCTGCCATCAAGGCGGATGGATTGTGGCTTGGGGCTCATAGAGTTTCTACTACCGTAAAGCGGAAGATACGGAAGCAGATTGATTGATTCTTTTAGCGCGCAGTTTAAAGTCGCGACATGCATTATAAAGTGGTGGCGATCCAGCAAGCCTTGATTGATGGCGTGGATACGAGCCGCAAGAACGTGGGCAGCATGGGACGAATACATCATCCACTGGAGCTGCTGGCTATTCGGATTTGTCACAAAGTGACTGCCAGGAAATGAAGCATGAAATTTTTCTGGTCTTAAGGAAATTCGGCCACCTCTAAGAGGGGCTGTATTTCGGAGTACCGGTTAACGTGACGGAACCACGAAATGCGGATCAGGTACTTAGTACCATCCTCCGGAACCTGAGGAGCGACCATAGGGGTGGGGTCCACGCTGATGGCTGCGATCCCATCCCTGCTGTTGGTAACGCTGTTGCTCTGCCCTACGTGCATCGGCTTTGGCTTGATGCGAGAACGCTCTGCGTTGCGCTGGCGCTCTTCGTAGGCACGGCGGGCAATTCCGACCTGTCCCGCGAATTTCTCACGGAGCCACTCAGTCCACTCTCCGGCAGTGTAGCCAAGGCGTGGATCGACGTAGAGTGCCTCTTCTGAGAAGGTGACAATCATTGCACGATTTTGTGCTGAAGGAAAACGTCTACGAACCTACGCAGACTGTATGCCCCTCCCAGCCACATGATGCAAAATGGATCATCACTTACAGCGGAAATCAGGCCTGCCCTAAGGGCGGCTGGATTGCACTCATGCAAGTAAAGCAACCTGGCGATCTCCTGGTTCCGAGGGCCTTCGGAGCTTCCGCCATAGGTGCCGACAGCGAGCTGTCGTTGCTCCTTGGATCGCCCATGGTTTGGCAGCGCAGCATGTGTGAGGACATCCTCGATGGCAAGAAACTCCCGGTCGTACCCATTGCCGATGGAACTCATTGTGTAGTCCACGTCATTGTCGAACCGGTTGACGATACTGGAGTATCCTCCTTTCGTTGCCATTTTCAGCTGCTGGCGGGCCTTGTCTAAGGCTTCTGCGTCTAAGGAAGTAGTTCCACGCTGCGTGGTAGCGTCTCTGGTCATCTCACCAATGACCTCCTCCGGCGTCAGCTGGGAACGTGGTTTTCCTGCCGATGCAGCAGCGGCCTCTTCTGCGAACCAACGGGCTGTTCGCACCTTCTTGCGGGCGCTCTGCTGAGAAGGCTTTACAATGTGTACGCCACAGCTGAGACAGATCATCTGTCCCACAAGATTATGGTCGTTGCTTCTGGGACGGGGTTGGGGGTACCTCCCAGCTTTTCGGGGGCAAATCGGTACGAGGTTCGAGCCCCAACACCCATTGACAACACTTTACATCCTTTGTTCTATGAACTGGGGGTCTGGCTACCAGAAAACTGCAACATGTCTGCATTGCGCAATCAGCAAAGTGCCGAAAGTGGGGTTTTCGCCCATTACCTTGTTTTTGTTCCTTTACATCTCCGATTCAGAAAATGCCCCTGTCCCGGAAGAAACAAACGTGCCTTGAGTATGTTAGTGGGAAAAATGCTACTCTGCGCACTTGCGGACGGTCAGTCTCATAACTTCCAGCCAATGCCGTCTGGTTGTTCAAGGAATTTTGTATCGTTGTTTAACTTGTCGTGAGCCCATTTCCTGATATGTCTCTTCGATCGTTAGCTGTAATGGTGTGAAAAAACTCTCACAGGCACGAGTTACGGAGTTTACCCATGTTGTATGGTTTGAAACAACTTTGGGTGGCACAGGATCTCTGCCTATTCTGTTTTGGTGTAGTTTGCAAAAGGCTTGCCAGTGCCTGGCCCAAATTTCAGGGTAAACGGAAGCCTAAGAAGTTGTAAGCAACAACCTGACATTGCCAAGGCAATAGCCTCAAATGCTAACTTAGGGCTGCAGGTCTATTCTGGCCTGTGCTGGCCCGGGGAAACTACTTGTTACTTGTCTTTACTACTCCAGTCATAGATGCCCACAAGCCAAGAGCAATCAAACATACAAAGTCAGAAAAGGCCATGCGCGGGGGCACGGGGCAGGTTGGAGGCAGTAGGGTGTGAAGGGTCCGCAATCTGCGTGGCTTAGGGTTTTAAGGTTTAGGGTGAAGGGTTTAGGGATGTTTAGGGCATAGATCACCCACACGATACCAGGACCGGAAGCAGTTTTGCCAAAAATCTGCTAAAATGTTCCCATGCTAGCTAAAAGGCTTGAGAAGCCATCAAAACGCGTCTGGACGGACACCCGGGGCGTCTGGCCGGACACGGGGCGTTCGGCCGGACACGTGGAGGGACACCCGGGGGGTCTGGCCGGACACCCCGGGCGTCCGGCCGGACACCCGGCCGGACACCAAAAAAGACACAGGCGGGACACGGCGGGACACGGGCGGGACACCGGCGGGACACGGGCGGGACACCGGCGGGACACCGGCGGGACACCGGCGGGACACCGGCGGGACACCGGCGGGACACCGGCGGGACACTGGCAGGACAGCAGCGGGACACCGCCGGGACAGGTCTGAAGGCACTGGATGGACAGTAGCAAGGAGCGACCGGAACAGTGCCTCACACTACAAGTTGCTACCTTGAATTTCACTGCTGCGCTTTCCGTCGTTGCAAAATTAACAATAGTTGAGTTGTTGGTGCGTGCTCAGCTCTAGCTTTGTGTTTTTGAGGCTGCTTTGGACGAGATACTTGATGTTTTATGCCTATAGGTGTAAGGTTTAGGACTTAGGGTTTAGGGGGTAGGGCTGAGTGGAAGATTTGGGTTTGCAGCTGAGCGTATTAGGTTTTGGGCATAGGTGGGGGTCGCAGGGGTTTAAGATTGAAAATTTGGGTTTCTGGGTTTAAAGTTTAGCTTGGGGCCTACAAGGGCTTTAGTGCACATGTAGGGGTTAAGGGCTTAGGGTTCACGATTTCGGGTAGAGGGCTTAGGGGTGAAGGGTTTAAGGCGTTTAAGGCTACCAGGGTTTAGGGTTCAGGGGCATTTAAGCACTGCGTATTGACCAAATCTGGCATTCGTGGGCATCCGTTGGCTTCATAGCGCCAACGTGCTCCACGACCTGTTTGGCCCTGCAAGCCAAACGCACTTCTGCATCGTGGCCGTCAGCCTCTGGTGTGGGCACGTACAGAAGCAGCCATTTCGGCAGCTTGTGCTTCAACTTGCCACGGTCCTCACCCCGGTGTGCTACCCCGAAACGAGCAGGCAGGTGTAAGACGTCGGCCATGGCATGCAAAAACACAAAAGCAGGGGGAAATGTTTTTTTTATAATTTGCAACTTGGCTGCTACTCGTTTGGCTCGGACAGGTGCTAATGTGCTTTTTTCCATGTATGCCTGAGAGGTAAAGCTGCTGCAAAATACACATTGTGACCCTAAGCCCTATACCCTAAACCCCAAACCCTAAACCCTAACCCCTAAAATGTTGTTGAATTTGTTTTGCCCAAAAAGCAAGGGTCTTCGAGCTTCTCAACTTGAACTAATCAACTAATTTTGACAGCCGGGGAGGCCCAAAGCCAGAAATGACAGGTTTCAAACGGACGGTACAAAAACGTTGAAATCCATGGTCTGGGGGCTGAACCTACCCTGAACCCTCGTTATGGTTTCCGAACCCCGTCCCAGAAGCAACGACCTGCTGTGCGCCACAGTGGGGACATGCTCTGTGGCGGCCACCCGTAACGGGGGCTGGAGGAAGTGCCAGAGGCGTTGATGTAGGCTGCGGCGGTGCCTGCTCATACATCGGTTCAACCTTGACTTCTTCTCCCTCCTTTTTCACATCGCCTTCGTCCGGGTTCGATCTCAACCTCGACCTCGACTGGCTCCTCCGGCTCAAGGAAACGCACTCTCTTGCGGGATTCAGTCGGTGCATCAGATGTAGAAACACCCCCCTGCTCCAGCGTAGCGGTTTCCTCCGGAAGGATGTCGGAGGCCGTGGCGTCTGTGAGGGCAAGGGGTACAGCTGTTGGCGGCTGTTCCTCGACCTCGACTTCGATCACAGGCTCGTCTGCTGGAGCAGACGTCGTCGTCGCTTCTTCTTGGCCACCACTAAGTGGGGCTGAAGGTTCCTCCGGAATATCGGGGAGGAACTGTTCCGGGACGGCTGCACCTGGATCCACAATGGGCTCCGGGGCAGTTCCCGGGATGATGGTGTCTTCCTCCTCGCTGGTCTGGCGGAGGATCACACCCTTGGTAGTGTCACGGACATACAAAACGCATGACCCTGGCACCGGATCGCGGGTGAGGATGCCTTCAGAGGTCGTCTCAAAGAGGTAAGCGTGCTTGTTAACCTCCTGAGTGTCCAATACGACCTCGTACGGCCAATTTGTGCGACTGCCTGCTCGATTCTCCAGCTCACTGAGGGTCGCTTTTGCAAAGTAGTTGTGAAATTTACCA